TAAAATAAAAATTCTAGTAAAATATTTTATCGAAATATTTTCTGAATATATAATATAATAAAAACTATAATAATTAATTAATATTCAATAATAATTCCTTGAAATAACTAAGCCCATGTGAATTGTCACAAGAGTCATGCCATTATGTCTAAACTAGTGGTGGGAACTGTAACAGTATGTAGTTCATAGGTTGCCTGTAAGATATCGCTTTCAGTGATAAGGACGCCTTTGCACATTTCTTTAATTGCATTTTTTTTGTGTATGTACTTACTTACCATTATACTGTGCAATAAAGTGTTAAGAATAAAATAGTGCACCCCTCTATCTGAATGTAATAAATAGATTCTTTAAAACAATAGACTTAACAAAAGCTTCAAACTACCCAATATTACATTTTTATTAAGAGGAAACAATTATAATTATCATTTTTATATATATGGAGGTAGGTAAATAAGACAAAGGAAACTGTAACAATTATTTTATATTATTGTAGTTATTATCATCACAAAATAGTTTAGAATAACCAAAGAAAATATATCAGCAAAAATACTATAAATAGAAACTTTACCCTTTAAACAATTATCAAAGCTACTTATCTTTGTCCTGATCAGCTGCTCGCCAAAGAAAAAGTGATTCGCTAACGAACACAGGGTATATATAACATCGTATTGTGCCGTTATGTCAAATCATAAACTTTTTAAAGATTTCAAATAAAATGTTGCCAATAAAAAAAACTATTTATAAGTTTAGTAAAATTAAAAATAATAATTAAAAAAAAAGATTATTATATAAAAAATGTACTGTAAAATTAATACTAATCTATCAAATGCAGGTTTACGGACTTCACATTTATTTTGCGTACAGCTTTCTTTAATATGCAAGTTCCTTACGATATTTTCCTTCACCGTTTAGCAAAGGGCGTCAAATTGAACTACTGTACATTTTATGTATATGTATATATAAATCTGAGCGTTGCCAGACTCGGATTTTAACCCACTTCACTTGGATTTGTAAGCGAATACGTCACCAATGTGCTATTAGAAACATAACAAAGTATATACCCACTGTATATTTACATAGCGCGAGTACATCGACTGTAAGGCTACGAAACGACCTTCACAGCAATCATAGCCACGCGCCAGCCTTTTCGCTGCAAACTTCCGCCAGTGCCATTGAACGATGTTTCCGATACGCTGTGATTTATGAAGGTTTTTTCATTTTATTTTAATTAAGGAGTTGCTTAATTTATATGTACGTTTATATATATGGTTTTTGTGTATATGTTACCTACTTAGCTACTATCCTGCGCCAATTATGATAGGTATATCATAGGTAGAATATTACCTATGGGTATAGCTTAGGTCTAGTCTTATATTTTTAAAAATCATAACTGGAATGATTAAGATTTAAAGTGATCATCACTTTAGTCGATGTACTTCTTTTAGTTAAAAAATAATATTGTTCATACTACTGAGTTTAATCTATGATAGAATATTTTCTTACTACAAGAAGCAACAACGATGACATATTTTTTCCTTTAATATAAGGCATTTGCTGTTAATGTGGCATTCACCGTCGAGTTTACGGTTTATCTAATACAGAATAAACTAATCATGTCGACTATTAGTCATATCATTTAAACAACAATCGTTGCAGAGTTTTAAAGAGTAAAGAAACTTATTTAATGATCTTAAGTATTCTGTAGAAAGATTACGTATCAAAATAATTTAAAAACACTGACATAAGAATTTAAACAATTTTTAAATTGAAAAAAAAACATTGTAGAAAAAAAATCATTCAAACTTTTGTAGTTAACATAGAAAGTACAGAATAAGCAGTCAATTAGCCGAAAATATGGAAAAAGCCGTTGTTAATTAGTTAAAAAAACCTTCGAACTTAATTGTTTTGCTTAATCTTTTAGAATCTATGAATCATATCCTAAGTTTATCTCGAACATGTTTTTAAAACCTTGAATTTTAGTTTTTGATAAAGATATCTGTGCACTGAGCCAGAAGAAATGTAGGTCAAGATGCGTCGCCCTACTTAGCGTTGCACTTGGCCGACTAATGTACTCGTCTAGCTCATTTCCAGGGTGACCATAGTAAAAAAAGCAAAAATATTGTTAATAACACAAACTATTAAACAATTTATTTTTGTCGTTTTCATTATGTTAGAAAAAATATTTAAATTAGTAATAATTTAAACATTTCATTTCACATATTTTTCAAAAGGTAATAAATTATATACAGAAGTTCTTTAATATGCTCTTACTGGCTTTTGTTCCCGTGACCACCGTGAATCAATATTTTAGAGTTAAATTAGACTTCTAAAATGTATATATATACGGGGCTTAAAAAATAATAGTGTTTATAGTACATCCTGTTGCATCTAGCTTAAGTGTAAAAGACAATAAAATTCAAGGATAAAGAGTTCACTCATCAATTTTTAGTCATTAATTTCACTAAGTATTATTGCATTTTTGCATGCAAATGCACCATGTCCCATTGCATTGTAACGATTGCAATATCGACAATTGTTTGTAATGCTTCATAAAGTTTATGTAAACTTTAAATCGAAGGTAATTAGTAATTAGTGAAGAAAAACGACGCATAATAACATAGTAGCAGTTTGGTTTGGAACCTTAATTGACATTGTAAATGTACAATTTACAACATAAAGGTCAAAAAATCAATAATTAAGATTGTGACATATAATAATAAAATTGAGTAAGATATTATGATAAACAGTAAAACTAAATGATAAAATGGTACCATATAATACTTTCTTAGATTTACGCGAATGTTTGACATTTTTGAATAAAACTATCTTTTCGGATTATTTCGCGGATTTATTTTGATTTTTGGTTCCCTTATTTATGGTACCATATAATAATTTTCTTCATTACTTTAAAAATTAATTTGCATCGTAAAGGTGATGAATTATTATAAAATTATTTCTCATTTATTTATTTGTCAGTTGTCTGTTTATACTTTTGAAATGGTAAAAAAATAATAATAACAAAAATAGCAAATAAAATATTATTATATTTACGTTAAAAAATTAAAAATTATAGTCACCCTACTGCCGTAAAACTTCCATCACATACAAATATTTCAATAATGCTCACTCATTTGTGTAATGACAGGCGGTTCCGCGCTTGTTATCTACGCTTATCGGCCGAGGTTGCTTCGAACCTGACAATGAATTGTGAATAGTGATGTACCATGTCGATAAATAAGTAATCTATAAAGATTTACCTTTTTTACAAGCTTTTATTGAACTAGTAGTATTTGTTAGTTGGTACGAGTATGTGTGTATGGGTCATACCTGTAAGATGAATTAGAATCATTTTCTTTTATCCTATAGAGTTTAAATTTTACAAGTGTCTTTAGTTTCGATGACAATGACTTTTTATGATAATTATGACCTGATTTTTCACCTAGGATTGGCTCCAGACGATGCACTTTTCAACGATCAACAGTACAGACACAAAAATTTATATATGCATTCAATTATTATTGCCTGTTCTAAAGTTTAACATGATTTGGCCGCTGCGTCCAGGATTGGCTCCAAATAAGAGATCTCCTTAGCGGTCAACACCATATATACAAAATTTCGTAAGCATATTAATTTAAAATAGGCCCACTATAGCCAGGCTATTGCAAATAGAAAATGAAAAATTTCCCCAACACTCAACGGCACAAACATAAAATTTCATTTATTCCATTATGAATCAGCTGACTTAAACTTTACTATTACCTTTTATTCCTGAAGTTTAGAATACTTTAAATTAGTTTCACATAAAGTAGCACCGTTAGTTTAAAACGTTGTGATGCCATGGTCAAAATAATTACTTACTATCGAAAATTATGTGAGATCATGATATATGAAAAAAGCTAATTATGATTTATCTTAAAAATATTTTTTACTGTTATATAATATAAACTTTAAGTGTCTAATATAAGACCACCTCGTTCAGTTTATACCTACACCTACTTGTTTTTCCGAAATTTTCCTAATATTTGTATATATATAGCACATTACTATTATATGTGTCACCATTTAAAACACTTGTGCCGATATGGTAAAAGCTCTTTGATTGTCCGTTTATAATTGGGATGCTGCTTGGACGAATAATTCAAAATATAAGAAAAGACGGTATAAAACAAATGCAAACATCGACATAAACAGTTTCTTGATACATCACTAGATGCACAAAGTTATAGGGGTCAGGCCTTCGAGCGTACTAAGGAGGTTTGTTACAACAAATCATAGATCCTTTAAATATTAACCGTATGAAATCTGAGCATAGTGAGTGCACGCACTTTGACATGAGTGCACTCTTCTTAGGATAAATATATTTATTTTATTATAATTTATTTATTATTCCTATATATTACATAAATTATTGCCATATTATCCTTAAGTGTTTACATTTATTTATTAATAAGTACAATTGATTTTGTCATATCAGTTAGTAATCAATATGTGCGTCTTTCGTGTGTTCGTTTTTGTGCTATTTACGAGTTACGTGAATATTGGATTATGCTATGTTAACCGTAAGTAAATCGTCTTTTTCTTATATTTTTTGAATTGAAGAATTATGTATGGCAGAAAATTACCATTTTATGTACATATGTAGGTACATAAAAATGTGCATATGTAGTATGTACCCATATTAATAATAAAACAACCATAAACCTTTTCATTTTTTGAAGTCACTCAAAAATAAATTACTCGTCCTTCACTTAAACCAAGAGTCACATTTGGTTTTTGTTTTTTATCTTCGTTTAATTTTTTTATATTTTACAAAAAATATTTTTGACAATAAATAATTAATAAATTATCAATTAATAAAAGTATTTTAGTGTCTATTAATGTCACATCCGTAATCCGTAAAATACCTAAAACCTGGTGATGACTCAATAAATATGCCCTAAACATTGAATTTCAAATTAAGGTTGTATTATGTATTGAAATGATAAAATATTACATTTAAAATGGCGCAGCATTTGGTGAATGGTAAACTTCAAGACATGTCATAGGTTCGATTATCGATACTTGTAGTCTTGCATAGCTGTATATTTTGATATATAGGTATAAACAACTTTAAGTGCCAAACGTCATAAGTATGGAAGACGCACGACAATATAATCAATCACTACATTTTCGCTACCTAAAATTATATTTTTTCTTCTCTATTCATGTCTTGTTATATGGAACATACTCTTAAATATAGAACAGAAGAAAACACGAGGTTTCGATTTTACCAGACCAAGACAAACTTCTATATTGTTATATACAACAGATACCTCGTACCTACATACATATACGAGTATACAGCTTTGTTGTAATAATCTAGTACATTTCCATAACAATTTTAAAATGCTTGCTAGTATGGCAGATACTTAAGTAATAAACAGGAAATAAAGAACACATTTTATCCATTTCAAATTTTACTTAAATCCGTTCAGATATTAAACTTGAAGAGGTCCCAAACAAACATTCACAAACATACCCCTTTATTGTGCTTACAGTTGCTGATGTAGAATGTGGCTTGGTGATGGCTCGTAAAGGTCGAATAGTGGGAGGTTCAGACAGTCTGCCTGCCGAATTTCCGTGGACGGCTAGCATTTGGAGACAAGGCACGCATCAGTGTGGAGCTACTGTTATCAATGATAGATGGCTGTTAACTGCTGGTCACTGCGTTTGCAGGTATTTTATTATTAACTAGCCTAGACTTACCCTGGCTTCGTTCGGGTGAGTCCCTAGGTAAGTTTTCATTTTTTGAGCGGAACCCTAATTCTTTTTCTAAAATAAAAGTGACCTAAGTTACTCCTTGTAACATCAACTATCTGCCAATGAAAGTCCCGTCAAAATCAGTCCAGCCGTTTCGGAGTTTAGCCGGAACAAACAGATAGATATTTTATGAGAAAGCTTTTCTTTCTTCTTTCTTACTCGTACTTATTATATACCTACTATTATTTACTATAACTACTAAGAATATTTTAACATTTTTCATTATTTTCAGTGTTTTCGACGAGTTCTACAAAACAAAACAGTTAACGGTAGTTGTCGGGTACACAGATATTTCAGCCAGTGACAAAAATGAGAAGCTAACTAAAATAATACCACACCCGGAGTATAGGTAAGTATTGTATACATAGGTTGTATTATTATCTTATTTTTAAAGGTTTTAATATTTTCCACGGCACTGATTTACTCAAAAAACGCGCATTTCAGCTTCCCACGTCGAAAACTTAATTGCTATAAAAGTGCGCCTACGTCTTCTATAGGTACATACAATAAAATTGTAACTGAACCGAATCTGTACATTAAATATTTTTTGGAAAATCTTATTGAAATAGACATTATTATTGACACAGAGGCCGAATCTATAGTTTTTAGAATTTTTGTCTGTCTGTCTGTTACCTCATCGCGGAAAAACCACTGTAGGGATTTTGATGAAATTTGATATGATGATAGCTGGCTATCCGGGTCAACATATAAGATACATTTTACCGCAGGAAAATGTCTCATTTCTGAGAAAAAATACAAAAACTGCAATGTAAGAGTATACCTACTAATATGTAAAACCTAAGAATTTGATTTTTGGTCATCTGAACGCGGGCGGAGCCGCGGCCAATGCTAGTCTCTATATAAAAGGTATCATTCATGAATCATGTGAATATCTTTATTGTCTAACATAGTTAGAAAAATAAATATATCTGGAAAACTTATTTTCTTGGCGAAACGTTTGTACCTCATGTTTATTTTAGGAACAAAACGCTATTACATTTCAAGCAAATAAATTAGAATCTCCATTGCTTCTGAATTATTTATAAATGCTTGAGAAATTCATTTACATACTCTTTCATTTGTCTACATTATTTCATTTTCTATGACAGTTTCTGTAGTCTTTGTTTCGAGTTCTTTATGTTATCTGACGACTTTGTGATTACGTTCGTATTATAAACCTTTATGTTCGAATAACTATGTCATAACCGGCTAAATTGGAATGTGACGTTAAAGTTAAGAACTATACCAAGTCGCTGAAATTACATCCTAGCAGAGAATATTATAAAAGAAATATCTATCCATTTATTTTTCTTATATTACGTTGAATATTTGATATAAGGTTCATAAATATTTAAATTTCTATAAATACCTACTATGTTAGATTTAAAAATATCTGATATTTTAATATTATGCAAAATATAAATCATACAAAAACAATATTATGGTAATAAATTATGAAAGGAAACAATATTAGGTTTATTATAATTATCTCTCAATTTTTGAATTTCGGCCATGGTGACCATGTGCGAAAATTATAGTGCACAAATATGCTCGCAAACACAAGTGCACTCTATACCTACCATTCATATTCACGCATCGGTTCAATTTTGACTCTCGCGGTGAGAGATAAGTAATCGAAAAGCTTTCCATGCTATTCGAGGCAAAGGGGTGTGACACTAAGAATTTCTTGATGAAAGAACTCAATAACTTGGCCGGATTTAAGATTTGAACCTACAACCTCCGTGTGCAGCCTTGCGCTAGCCACCAGACCAACGAAGCAGTTATGAATGAAATGAAAACTTACCTCAAAAATTAATGGTATCCATGATTCACTTATGATGACGACACGTTTGGCTCAGTTTGTAGTGACCCACCCTACTTACTGTGCCAGCGATCGCGGGTTCGAGTCCCGCTGGGAGCATTGGGCATTTGTACTCCAGTCACGGCTGTTTATATTTATAATATACTTGTATTTATGTATTTAAATTTATACATGTGTAGTGTATCAACTATCTGGTATCCATAACACAAGCCTCGTAGCTTACCATGGACTAGATGGTGCTATGTGTTAATGTCCCAAAATATTTATTTACTATTATTTATCTTAATTTTGTTTAGAATAGACTCAATAAATAGACCCGTACCTGTAACATTATAATTATTTAATTGTAGATGTAAAAAGAAAACAAACGACGTAGCACTTCTTAAGACAGCTCGCCAGTTCCAATGGAGTGATGAGCTTAGACCCGCGTGCCTCCCACTTCCTCTCTCTTCAGATTTCAGCGGACGAATTGCTACGGTGGCTGGGTGGGGCTTCACTAATGAAGACAGGGGTATAGGTATGAAATATTACATATTTAAGAATCAAATCACACTATAAGTCTATTGTAATTAATGCGAAAGTTTGTACATATGTTTGTGTATGTTTGTTACTCATTTACGCTGAAACAGCTGAACGGAATTAGATGAAATTTAGTACACAGATAGATTATAGAATGGAGTAACAAATAACACCGGCGTTTAGTAATAAAGCTTGCCTCAAAGTGGTGATATTTATATAAAATAGTAGTGACTCACGTTCGTTTCGTCCCTAGTCCTTTACGTTTTAACGTTTAGTATAGATTTCTCAGAAATGTGATATTTTCCCGCAGTAAATAGTATCTTTTATGTTGACCCGAATAACCAGCTATCATCATACCAAATTTCATCAAAATCTGTCCAGTGGTTTACTCGTGATGCGGTCACAGACAGACAGACAAAAATTCTAAAAACTCAGCCTCTGTATCGATAATAATGACTATTTTAATAAGATTTTCCAAAAAATATATAATGTACAAATTCGACTGAGTTAAAATTTTATTATATGTATAGATAATACATAGAAAGGTTACTAGAGACCAGTGGCGTAACTAGCCTTTTTGGGCCCTAATGCAAAAAAAATGGAAGTGCCCTTTGCCTATCATGAAAATATAATAAACTAGCAACTCACCCTCGCTTCGCTCGGGTTCGTCCCTGGGTCCGATTTAACGGTTAGTATGAAATACAAATCTTTGAATTTCTCGGCTTTTCTGTATAATGTGCAAGTATTATACATATAAACCTTTCTCTTGATTCACTCTATCTATTAAAAAACCGCATCAAAATCCATTGCGTAGTTTTAAAGATCTAAGCATACATAGGGACAGACAGACAGACAGCGGGAAGCGACTTTGTTTTATACTATGTAGTGATAAAATGCGGAAATTTGGGACACTTTTTTCTTTTTTTCTTGTGTTTTTTTTTAACTTCTATGAGGGCCGTCCCGAAATGTTTTGAAATAAAAGAACCATTTGTGGCCTTCTGGGGCCCCTTTGAATGAGGGACCCCATGCGAAGGCATTGGTTGCATTGGTACTGCTACTTGCCACTGCTAGAGACACAATAAAGCGAAGCGATAGTAAATCACTATAAAGGTATCATACAGACAAAGTAAAAAAACTTATTATTTATTAAATATACGATCTTGTAATATTTTTTAGAATATTCATTTCACGAAAAATATTTTCTTTTAAATAGGTAACGTATATTATATTGAAATTGGATACACGTATAACATAGAAATTTCTTTAAATTATCTGATATTATTGTATAATGAAAGTTATAAAAGAATCCGTAAAGAAGAATCCGAAAAGAGCCCATATTTTAGTCTTCGTATAAACAAAAAATATGCTTAATATTATAAAGCTGAAGAGTTTGTTTGAAGAGGCTAATCTGTGGAAGTGGCTATCGGATTTGAAAAATTGTTTTTGTATTTTATAAGCTATTAATTAAGGAATATATATAGACTATCTTTATCATCTAAAAATTATACATATACTACGCCTATATTCTAATATATATATATATTAATAAAACAAAGTCGGCTATGTTACAACACTTATAACTCGAGAACGGCTAGACCGATTTTTATGATCTTTATTTTGTTGGATTTGTCTTCACTCCGAATAGCAGAATAACTATTAAAACATCGGAAAATTGACGAAAAAAAATTTAAAACGAAAATCTATTCCATACTAAGCGTCAAAAAGTACCTAGGGACGAACCTGGGCGAAGCGAGAGTGAGTCGTTAGTATATAATATAAAAGATATAACGTTTACGATATTTTCAAGGAACAAGACCAAATGTTTTGCAAAAGACTGAAGTGGTGGTGGTAGAGAACGGCGAATGTAACAGATGGTACGAGTCGCAGGGCAGCAAAGTTAGAGTGATAGCGACTCAAATGTGCGCGGGATATGAGCAAGGTGGCCGCGACTCCTGTTGGGTAAGACTTAAATTTATTTATTTATTTTTATTAGGATAACCAACCAAATTTCATTAATACATTCGTGAATATAATTTACAACTACTAATGTACTTTTTTACAGGTTACCATATCATGTAATATGTTAAAAACAAAACATCGTTAGTTCCTAAAATAGTTTATTAAGTTAATCTCTCTTTTTTCACTAAGTTAACCTATACTAGTATTATAAATGTGAAAGTTTGTGAGTATGGATGTATGGATGTTTGTTTGTTAATCTTTCACGCCAGAACGGCTGAACAGATCTGGATGAAATTTGGCACAGAGATAGATTATAGTCTGGAATAACACATAAGCTATCTATTATCCGGGAAAATGTACGGTTACCGTGGGATATGTTGGTTTTTGTCTTCCTAGAGGTGAACCCGAGCGAAGCGAGGGTGAGCCGTTAGTATACATATAAAAAAGTCGGATCAAGATCAAATAAGTAATAGTTTTTAAAATAACATAAATAGTCCAGTAAAAACACAGTCTACTAACTAAGATATCTAGACAGAGAAATCGTGCGGCTGAGGCGCTCCCGACTGTTTTAAGTATTTTTGTATGTCAGTCAGGAAACGGCTTTGAGGTTGACGCGTTTTATTGTAACTTGCTACGAAAGGTACTACAGTGCTCTAGATCCAAGTTGTTTATTGTTAAAATCAATGCGCGATAGCCATAGATTTTATAGTTTAACTAGGAAAACAAAAAAAACTTACCCCAACCGTACATTTTCCGGGATAGAAATGGCCTATGTATTCCAGACTGTAATCTATCTCTGTGCCAAATTTCATCCAGATTCGTTCTGCCGTTCTTGCGTGAAAGAGTAACAAACATCCATATATACTTACAAACTTTCACATTTGTAATAATAATACGGGATAATCGTAGTTTAATAATAGTAGACAATTATATTTTTATTTTACTAAAAAGAACCCAACAATTAAACAAAAATTTGAAATAATAAGATCAAAAAAAAAAGTCGGATAATACAGTGAAATATTTTAGTACCAAACCTATATAACTAGGCGAATTCAACCCAGTATTAGGTAGGTACCTGCTAGGAATAATATTGTAACTCAATTCAATAGCAATTTTGAATCTATGAGACACAAGATGTCATCCTACAAATGCTTATTATACGAATAAAAGGAATAAGACTAATGTAATTTTATATTTTTTCATATAACGCTTCAATTTATCAATTCAATAATATTTTTGAAATTTGTATTCATAATCAATTGTAAAATGAAGGGCTGTAAATATATGAGTTTCTTTTAAATACCTCAATACTAAGTTACAACCTTTTTCTTTCCAAGTGTCGACTTGACCAACTTCATTTTATAATAATTGATGTGTTATTAGCAGTAATGGTTATAATGGGAAACAAGTTATATAAAACTTTAATAAAAAATATATAAGCAATAAAACAATTTTAATTGAGATAATAACAGCGATATTATAAAACGCTAACTAAACATGACTAGACAGACTACTGATTACTCATAAAAAGATCAATTGAAATTATTTACAGCGAATCATATTATATTAGTACCTGGACGACCGAGCCTCGCTCGGTGAGGTTTATCAGCTAGTGTTTTAAATAAAACTATCTTTTAGAATTTTGGTTTTTGGTTCCCGACGTTTCGAATGCTTTACAGCATTCATGGTCACGGGAGACTCTCCCGAAAAGGTAGTTTTATTTAAAATGTCAAATATTCGCGTAAACCTAAGAAAGTACTGAGCTCGTGTTTTTTTCGTAAAAGACGTAAAAATCGTGTCATATTGAGAAAACAGACCTATATATCGTCGTTGAGCCTGCAAAATCCGCTATGGATAAAAACCCAACTTTTCAGGAGAAACAAAAAACTATTTTTTTTCTAAACTGTTAATAACATTTTAAAATTTACTATGCAGAAAATTAGACTTTGTGTCTGGACACCTAGAAATATATATTTACTGCTGTTTACTATGATATCCCAGGTGCTAGAATTTTTTTAAGTGAATTTGGGCACATATCGGATTTTATTTGGGTCGTAAATACCGCTATTTGACTTTTCACCACATGACGGATTTATGAATCTTCTAAATAATAAACATTTGTGTGCTTTCTTGAACACATAACGGATTTAACAAACTATTTTTTAATAATAAGATAGGTTTAAATTCGCTTAAAAAGTATTTATTATACTTAATTAGAAAAATAATTAACAAAATAAATCAAAACAGACTAAAATAGTGATACCTCTAAACAGCTTAGCATGCTTAGGTAGTTATGAACAAAATAGGTATTTAAAAATGTTACATAATATTAATAAAATAAATTGCAGCAGAAGGTATTAATTAACGGATGAGTTATCACAAGAAACATAAAATTATATAAACTAAAAAATAATAAGTAACATAATAAACCAATTGTTCTAAATCTTTATAATATAACAACACTCTCGTATAATATGAACAGATCAAATCAAATCACATTCATTGTTAGGTACACTTAAATATTTGGCAAACTTTGAGATCAATTTGTAACTAAGTAAAAATTAGGTACTAAACATAGTAATCGAAACTAGTTTTAGATAAATAAAAAAAAATTGACATAAAAAAGTGGTTATCTCGATGCATTAAAGGTTTCAAGGACTGTAAACTATGAAATTTAGTTTTTTCAATTTTTTTCGGCTTAGTAAACTAACACCGAGCTCCTCGTACAGATCAGCCTTTCTTCTTTGTGACAACAAGGTCCATTGAGTGTAATGATGTCTTAATTTATAATAAGTATCACCGTTCACATACAACTATGATCTTATATCGGCAACTGTGGGATCACCTGCTCTTTTACCTGGACGAATCGATGAAAAATTGCTAGGCACAGCTTCAAAGTTCCTAAAAAAGGTATAGTCTACATGTTTTATAATGTATGGTTGCCTTGGCCTCGCTTTCCGTATACATGCGACATAATCTGCAGGTGTGTATAACGGCGGAGTAAAGAATTTCTCTAAACTCAAATGGACACTGTCAACCTCCATCATGGTGTACCCTTTTTCTAAGATGATTTGTTGAATTTCAACCGACTTTAGCTTCGAAACGTCTGCCAAAGCACTAGACAAAACATTATTCCAGTTTTGGTAACCACAACCATCTGATATGAGACAAATTTTTGTATAGCCTTTGGTGGTATAAAGCTCCACAAATGTTACGATGCATGTAACAAATTTATTACATGTAACACCACCGTCGCCTTCGTGCCAAACAAACACAAGTTCATCTCTTGTGTTATTAATACATATTGTGAAAATATGAAGCTGAAGTTTTTGTTTGTAGTTCTGGCAGGATACTAATAACTTGGGGCATAATTGGACTCTTTGTAAATCCATTGTCATACAGAATGTTCATCAGATAACGAATCTATGGCTATTTTTTTCGCTTCTCGAGCCTCATTCTTTTTTTTATATACGTGTTTGATACGCTTCTTCGCTTAAGTTTCCTTCTTTGTAAGATACGCAAGTATCAAATTGATCCTTCCGTGGCTTATATATAGAATTTTTCTTACTTCTTAAAATCTCGCAAAATTTCTTTCGTTGGACGAATTCCAAAGAGGTAGACTGACATTAGGAAACGTAAACCTCGTGCATTTTTGTCTTTGAATGTCTTCATCAAGAACGTACGTGGATGATGCAATGGCATCATCCACGTACGTTCTTGATGAAGACGAGTGGCAATAATGACTGGGTACCTTAGCTAACTGATCTAACCATTGTACGACAGTCTGATTTTAAAATTCTCTTGTTTGAGGTACTCACCTTATCATGAATGGCAGGTATACTTTTGGTTGTATGACATCTTTTAGCTTTGGTCCAATCTGTAAAGGTTTCTTTCGTAATATCCAAAGTGGCCAAAAATAAATCTCTACAGACTCTTAATTTAACGCCATTTTCTCTTGGCAAAAAACAATCGACACCAGTATTTTTTCGTTTTGATGTACGATTTTCAGTTGTGGTTATGGTTCTTCTTTTTATTATATTTCGAACTGCAGTCGAACCCAGTACGAGGCCTTTTTAGGTTCCCAAGATGTCAACGACCAGAAATAATCAAAAATATCTTTACGGCCTTGATCGGTTACAGACCCGCAAAGAAAAGACCTTTCAGAAATGCCTACAATACCATGATTACAAGGCTTTAGACTTCTCAGTCTCGATCACAGTTCCCCCCGCTCTTTGAAGACCTTTGTATTCTTTGCCATGTAATTGAAGAGCCTGGTTGTTATTCCTCTTATTCTTAATAGATGTTAAGTTATTACTCTGATTATTATTAGATTCTTCTACCTGCCAGTCTTCTTCTAACAGCCTTGTCTCAGAATTCAGCAATAAGCAACAGGAGCTTGAAGTACCTGGGTTCTGTATTTTTTATACATCCAAGGATTGGTCGTTAGAAAATGGAAGTAATGGTAGTGACATATGAAGTGGATAAACTACTATATTCTGATCAGAACAATCACCAGAATCAAACGCTATTGGCATCTGAACACTATTAAGTTGATGCTGGTTCGATTCATGAAATTCAGTGAACGTTGAGTTACGTGCAATCGATACTTTTTCTTCTACAGGGTCAATAATATTGAAATTCGAAATATTAGTACTTGGTATTTCAAAGTTCGCCAAACCAGGTAAATATAACCAGTTTTGTAACTTATATGCACTATCTAACACCTAAAGCTATTTAATTGATATAAAATACGATCTGGTAAACATTGCACCACCTGCCACGTGCTGTTTCTTCTGTATGACAAACCCGCTATGTATCATTTCAAAGCGCAATTCTAAGGGACTCGCTTTGAAACAAAAATACGCTATGTGCCTCCTGCACATATAGAGGGTTTTTCAAGTCCGTTTTTCATCAAAATTACATAGCTGATTTTGCTATCTTCTTAACCAAATGAGTTATTCAAAAACGGGTTTTACAGATACACGTGGATTAAGAAGTAGTATAAACTGGCATTAAAAACCGATTTTCAAAAAAAAATACATAGCGCATTTTGCAGGCGCAGCGACGATATGTATACACCTTATCTAAATATAAAATTTAATCCACGTCGGTAGAGCCGTTACCGAGATACACGTGATAGATTTATATGTTCCTATACAAGAATAGATCATTTAATATTGTAAGATATCAAATATATGTAGAATAGTACCTAAGATTATTCTAATTTATTAGGAAATTCTACGACTAATATACATGCGTATAGTATTCTAGTCGTATGTATTCTATATTTATTGTTCACCTCACTTCAACTTTAATGCAATTGACATATCTTTCAATAATACAAGTTGAAATATATTTGAACTTGTTTGGTCTTAGCTTTTTTAACATGCATTTTATTTACTGATAAAAAAGTAACTTAAAAAAAGCTGTCTTGAGGACTGCCGACAGTACAAAATTTGAAAATTAAGACTGTTTACATTTATCTGGTTTTGACATCTATCGGCACCCTGAGCGTTAACAGTCAAGTGACGACCATGTCGATGACGACTTACATGAATTTACTCCCCATTCAAATCTGCCTATAGAAGTTTTCACTTCAAAAAATAATTTTATTTTTTTATTTGCCCATTTTAGGCTGACAGCGGTGGTCCATTGACATTGAAAGGCGATAAGGGTCATATTATGTTGGTCGGCGTAGTCTCGACCGGAAGTGGTTGTGCTAGAGCTAAAATGCCAGGAATATACACTAGAGTATCAAAATACACAGAATGGATCATGTCTAATGTTAATGAGGATAGCGCAAGATCTGGTTTGAGTTGGTACTTTAGAAGTGGATAGTTGTATCGATTTTATGGGAAGGAGATTCTATTTCGATTTTTTCTGTATTATTATTACATTATTGTAAACCAAAGGAGGGCCTCATTTTTAGGGATTGCAACATTTTTCTATGTTAAGCACTAACCACCTGGTGCCATGTTAATTATTTTTTTTACAACTTTAAAAAATATATTTAGGCTGAATATTTTTTTTTCATAAATATGGCGAGATTTTCAGAAATATGGCGATTTTTTTTATTCAATCTGAATTAGTTTGGGCACACAATTATCTTTTTATAACATATTACTAATATTTTTTGTTTGTGTAAATATATATTTACAACACTAATGGAGATCTATTAGTTTAAAACACTAATGGAGATCTATTAGTTCCCACGGGAACCGTTCATTTTTCCGGGATGAAAAGTAACCTGTTGTTTGACCGACAATATAACGTATCAGAATCTTAAAGTTTACTAAATCAGATGCATAAGTTGTTGTGTACTAAGCTGTATAAGATACTATAGTTTTTTAACTATCCCACGGGAACTCTTTAATTTTCTGTGATGAAAAGTATCTAAGATGTTGACCAGTGATATAAGGTACGACCATGCAAAATTTCATTTAAATCAGTCCAATAGATTCGAAGATTAGCCCGTACAAACAGACAAACAGACAGAGAAACAAAAAAATTGAAAAAAATCTGGATTTGTTATATTTGTCTTCTTACATTCCCCTGACTCGGTTTTTAGCATTTTTTTGCTATGTACAGACATTCGACCTCTACTCTTTTATTATAGTATAGATTTTATTATACGAGTTTATTCGAGCGCGTTTTAAAATAAAAATGGCGGCGGTTGTCAATGCCACAAAGATTCTATACTCTTTGATTAAAATATACTTTTTTTGAAGTTAATTTGATTTTTGTGTTAAAAAGGTCGTTATACATATGTATTCAATTTAAAACCAAAGGGTTTTGTCTACATATTTAGTATATAAGGTGAGCCAAAATGACGGCTGTTGTATTATATTGTGATTTTTATTATTAATTTCATAGTTTCAAGCATAATAAAGTATAAGTCTTATAATATTTTGTGAAGTTGAAGCTAACAACTGCTTATCAATTATTAAGAAATAGTAATTTTCGATGTTGATTTTTTGAACCAATTAATTTTGTTTATTTTTGATTTTATTGATTTTGGATTTTATTGCATTAAATGAAATACATTTTTAACAAATACCTGATCTATGTTCTTAAGTTCTAATTATATAAGATAATATTATGTAGTAATTTAACTTGAATATTAGCTTAATTTAAAAGTCAAAGGTTTTGTTATTGTTAAATTTATATTATTTGACGTGGAAAGAGTACAATTTTATAGTATATTATTATTAGATATGTTATGCTTGTTTAGATATTAAGCCATAGTTACCAAATCGTTGAATCACTGTGATAATAGAATAAATGTTAATTTATTATAAATTAAATTAAATATATAAATAAAGTTATTAAACACTAACATTCTTTTCTTTGCAATATTTATCAAAGTCCTTTTTACTGCATTCTATGACTTCATACAATCTTTTACCTGAAGTTTCTTCTATATCGTCCTTTAAAGACAATAATGCTACTTCTATAGAATCTTTAGCTTCTTTGAGTAATGATTGTATTTCTTCAACCGATTTGATAGAACCATCGCGATTAGCCTTTTTGCATTTTAGTAGTAAAGCTGAGTGTAACTCATGATTTAAAACAGCGCTATATAGACTAAGTCTGGCATTACCTGGGTCTAATATTTTAGTTATATCTATTAAATCTTTGCACATTTTAATTTTCTTATCTAATATCTCCTCGGACATGTAACTGGGTTGCCTCCCATACAATTGAATTAGCGAGTGCTTTATAGAGTACAGATGATAATGATTTGGATGTAAAAATGTTGACAGTCTCGTGAGAACATTTTCCAACATATTCACAGAACCGGCACTCATCTGTACGTTTTCTACTTCTTCCCCCATTTGCGATATAAGCATGTTTATTTGAGAATTGTTCACTTTTATTGGACATTTACTGCAAGCCCAATCTGTTTCTTCATTTAATGGGTCTTCAGGCAAATGTACTCCATCGCAAGGACCTCTGTCGTCACCAAAACATTTCATAGCGCTTAAATAAGTGCCTAATTCTGTTGGGTCACTGCATCGAAGACATTTGCATGAGAAATATTTGGTATCTTTTAAATGTTGCCGTCTTGCCTGTGTACCCCATAGAGCATGGCTATACATAGTTGCTATATGACTTCCTTTTGTTATTGGCACTACTGCTTTAATTTTTATTCTATAAAGACCGTTATCTTTTGACAAATTAAATATATGCTTCGTATTTGGTATACAACTGTGTTCTAGTAAGCAGGTGTTAGCGTATAAAGCATTCAGTTCTGAACCGTCAGGTAGTCTTATTTCTAATGCATTCGTGTCTATGATACCACATATTATATGTATTAGGTCAGCTGTTACATTTTTTAAATATTTCTTCTTTATACTATCATCTAGTTTATTTATGAAATTGTTCATGAGATATTCGACGATAAATTCGTTGACTTCTCTGCAAAATACAAGAATATTTTGTATATTTTTAAATCCATACTAATATTATAAATGTAAAAGTGCGTTTGTTTGTCCTTCTTTCACGTCAAAACAGAGAAAGGATTGTCGTGATTTTTTGTGTGGAGATAGTTGGAGGGCTGGAGAGTGACATAGGATTTTTATTACGGGAGATTAATTTCTTCCCACGGGTAAACACGTTATAATATAACACAAAAAGACAGAATTACTTAAAACTTGGTATTAATACTCTTCAATAGACTTAAATAAATACATGTCTTAGCGTTTTTCAAAATTCATCCTATAAGCGGGAAAAATAGGGGATGAAAGTTTGTATGAAATCTACCTTTTTAGTTTTTTTTGTATTTTTAGCGCAAGCGAAGCCGCGGGTTCTGCTAGTAATTAATACTTTTTTGTGATATTTTTTTCTTTTAATATCTTTTATGTTCCTAGAAAATATTATGTACCTATAATATTTTTACTTTATTTAAAAGTTCTGCTATAGTTAAAAGGTTAATAGATACGTACTCGTATATCTCTGTTCCCGGCGCTCGAAACTCCATATGTGATTGCATTTCTAATAATTTCCTCCACTTATCTGGTTCTGTATTTTGAAGAAGAAGACATCGTAATGGTAGTAAAGCATCATGCCTGAAATTATTTTTTTTCGTAGAATGTAATTTTATGAACATGTTAATTTATGTAAATCTCAAAACATAATTGGTCTATCAATAAAAATTATTCCTGTATATTATTTTCAATAGACATGGGCCTACATATTCTAAGCACTAACACTTTTTAATATATACTTAATAACTCGACTTATAACCTAGATCATTCGACCCTTTCTAATGGTAATGGTAAAATGGTGTTGTTAAAAAGGCATATGGCCCTATCAGCCCGATCTTTCAGTAAGTGAGGGCGATCATGTCATAGTCCATGTAGCTGGCCAAGTGCAGTGCGGGTTGACTGATATCACATTTTTCGGTAACAATATCTATACTAATATTATAAATGCGAAAGTTTGTGAGGATGTATGGACGTGTGTATGGGTGTTTGTTACTCTTTCATGTAAAAACTACTGAATGGATTTTAAATAAAGCTCATAAATCAGAATAAAACATAGGCTACTTTTTATCCCGGAAAAATGTACGGTTCCCGTGGAATAGATTTGTTTTTGTTTTTCGTATAAAAGTTTCATCGTTTGTTTTTTCGTTCTAATGAAAATCAGTCGTAAGTACTGTATAATACCTTATTGTCACCTTTGTATGCAGTCTACTGCATTTTAAAAATCGAGATAAGGTATTAAATATGGTTAAGAAAAGTTGTATCTGCATCTCTATACATATAATAAAATTCTGAGTCGAATCTGTACATTAAATATTTTTTGGAAAAACTTACTGAAATATACATTATTATCGATACAGAGGCCGAATCTATAGTTTTTAGAATATTTGTGTCTGTCTGTCTGTGACCGCGTCACAAGAAAACTACTGGACAGATATTGATGAAATTTGGTGTGATGATAGGTGGTTATCCGGGCCAATATATAGGGATACTTTTTACTGCGGGAAAATATCACATCTCTGAGAAATCTATACTAAACGTTAAAACGTAACTAGGGACGAACCCGAGTGGATCGAGGGTGAGTCGCTAGCTTAGAGTAATAAATTTCAAATGATTCGATAGAACTCGCTTTCTATTTTAAGTAGGTACTATCTTCGTTATTTTAACCAATATTTTATTGCAGTCAGATATTGTACCATCATTAGTTTTATACCAGCAGTTCGCTCGGGTGCGTGCCTAAGTGTCTAACCTCGTTACATAGAGTATTTGTGTTTTAAGTATCATCAAAATACGTCCAGCCTTTGCACGGTGAAAGAAAAATAAACATACACATGCAAAAAACACGTCGACTTTCGCATTTACAAGACTAGTTCGATATATAATTACCTAATATACATGTTCGCGTGTGGGCTACTGTTTTTAATAAAATTTGCCAAAAGATGGCGCTGATCGTTTATTGAAAGATATAGGTACATACATATAACATAGTCCATATAATTGAATCCGTACTTTTGATAGCACCGTCACGTTGTCGTATTTTAAATTCTGTCACCAAAGGTTGTCTGACAGATTGCTTTTAGCAATAAGACCGCCTTTGCACGCTTTATGTAAAACAGAAACAGTACTTGTACCATTTTATATTTATATTGTTTGCAATAAAGATTAAATAAATAAATAAAATAGTCCTGAGGCAGTGGTAGCCCAATAATGCCTGTTTGGGAAACCATGTAAAGCAAATTCCAAATCCCGGGTCTCTCTTATATTTTCAAGTGCGAATCATTTACATTATGATTACCAAAAACATTGTGAGGAAATCTGTATGTCTGAGAAATCCTAGTAAGTCAGCCAACCCGCACTTGACCAGCTGTGTGGTGGACTATGATCCGATTGCCTATCGTATGCAGCATTGAGACGTTAAAAAAGTAATAACATTATATACTTAGGTATACTCAGAAAATTTTATGTTTTTGTATCAGTTCTCATAGCGCACCTAGGGTTGTCAATATTTAGTATGTAGTTGTAGTATTCAGCACTTTTTTTAACGTCCCACTGCTGGGCACGGGCCACCCTTCAGTACGAGGGGAATCAAGCCATAGTCCACCACGCTGGCCAAGTGCGGGTTGGCGGACTTCACATGTCTTTCGAAAACTTTCTAGCTTCTCTCAGACATGCCGGTTTCCTCACGATGTTTTCCTTCACCGTAAGGCAAGTGGTAATCGTGTTAGAAATGATTCGCACGTGAAAATATCAGAGGTGCGAGACCCGGGATTTGAACCCGCTTCACTCGGTTTCCCAAGGGAGCGTGTTACCACTGGGCTACCACTGCCTATATTTAGTATGTCTACATAATATGTACCTGTAATATTCTGCCATGTTATCAAGGACACATTCCGGTCGAACACTTAATATGTCACATTCAACTCCATGGTGTCGAGGGTCCTTCAGTCCAGGACAGTTGCCAGAGCAAACGGGCCAACCACATCTATTTACATAAAAAAAAGTTATAATTTTAAATCAATATTCTAAAATAGGTAGTTCAATGAATGTAAAATTTGGGACTCTTTGTATTCTTCGCACCCTCGCTTCGTTCGGATTCGTCCCTATGTTGATTGCCCATAACTTTCATCCCTATTTTCACCACTTTAAGGGATGATTTTCGGGATAAAAAGTATCCTATATCCTTTCCCGCGGTCCTATCTAAACTGGAGTTGATTATTACTTATGCAAAGCCATAGACAGTAACAAGTTAAAAATATTTAATGTATAAACAATAAATAGGTTGTGGTCTCAATCTGCTTTGTTTAATAACTGCCTACTTATAAATCCAATCATAAGGCTCATTAGATTATTGTTCTCATTTTAAATTAAATTAAAATATGTAATTATTATGAACTAGATATTAGAGTGCACATATTATAATAACCCTTGTAAAATGTATATGGAAGAAGTAATAGCAAATAACATCCTTGCATATGGATCAATATAATATAAAATGGATCACTATGACGTAAATTTTCATTGTATTTAATTTTGTTACCTTGAACATCTCTCCCCTATATCGGTAAATACTGGTTTATAGCACCCAACACATGGCATTGATGCTTCAGGGTCAGGCATGGCTTTGGGTCCGAAGATAAGGGGCAGTTCCGTTAAGACTACATCTCCAGGTGATAAATCACGTGCAGCAACAAGATATCTGCCGAGCTCTTCAGATTTATGGACCTATTGAATATAATCTTGTATTGTAGATTTACACTACACTTAGGCTATCTACCTTTATAAGGTAAGAAAAAACATCCAAAAGATGGCGCTGACTGTATAGAACTACCGACAATATATATGTATTTGCAAGACTTTTATTATAAATGCCAAATTTTGTATGTATATTTGTTACATTTTTATATTGAAACGCTGGACTTAGAAGAAATTTAGATATACCTGGTGTAAAACGTATACTACAGTTAGGCTTTTTGGGCCACCCCGAGCAAAGCCAGAGGAAATTCAATATATTATATAGATGCTTAAATATATTACAATATTTAAAGGAATGAAATGCATCATCTGCATCATCTTAATCTATGCGATAATCGCATTTGTCAGCAATTTTGATCCTGTTTGTATTTTTATTAAGTTTATTTTTATTTTTATTAGTTGTAGGAAGCAGGTTAAAAGGAGGGCCAAACTTTATATTAGATTTGAATCGAAATTAAAATATTGATAAAAATTGATTAAAAAAAATATCAAATTAAAGAACAACTCATTGTGGAGCACGGCTCTGACATCTTTTGTAAAGTATGATGTTGATATGAATTAGAAAACTTTCAGAATTTTTAAAAACGTGGTGTCAGGTTAGAAATTAAGTTAGCAAACAACTACTTTTACAAATTAATTGTCGTAAATACAAAAAATACTCAAGTATCAAAACATTTTTAACTCCCGACGCAAAGAGAGGGGTGTTATAAGTTTGACGTCGATGTCTGTCTGTGTGTGTCTGTCTGTGACATCGTAGCTCTCAAACGGATGGACCGATTTCTATGCGGTTTTTTTCATTTGCAAGCCAGTTTCCTTGCGGTGGTTCTTAGCTACATTTGGTTAATATCGGTCCAGCATTGTAAGAGTATCAGCTCTTTTCCAAAATGATTTAATGCATTTTGGCGTATGATTACTCGATTAAGTGCTTCACGCGTGCCAGTGTAATCGTTAAATAACAATTAATTCGCGTAGGGGGTTTTTTAAATTTTAAATTCTCTTACTATAGTTAGTAATACCACAATTTTTTTTATATTTGCCGCGTTTTCTCAGGTCACGCTTTCGTTAGCCTCTAGCATTATTTTATTTAAAGTTTTTATCAAATCTATGGAACACACTAAGGACATCTAGTTAACTTTTAACAAAACGCTTAGTAGAGCAATTGCTTCCTTCGACGAAGCCTTTTATAAGGGTATCAACAGATGTCAGTACAAAATAAAATAATTAAATCATTAATTTACCTCGTAAGTACCGAATTCGTCATTATCTCGCCCCATTATCTGAAAGAAAACAAGTTTTTACATTATAGATATAAAAACCAATCGCCGTTTGTTAGTCCCGCTAAAACTCAAAAACGGCTGGACCGATTTGAGTAATACTTTTTTATTGTTTGGGGGTGTGTCACATTGTCAGGGTGGTTTAAGTATAAAAAAAGGGAAAATCTAAAAAAATAGCTGAAAAATCGAAAAGTTCAGAATATATGTATTTATGAAACACTACTATTATAAAGAGAAAAGATTTGTATTATTGTATATTTGTAACGAATAAAGTCAAAAACTACTGGAACGATTTAGATGGAATTTGCTAAGAAGATAATAGTTTTTGACTCTGAGAAGGACATAGGATTTTTTATTCCGGAAATCATCCCTTAAGGGGGTGAAAATGGGGATGAACGTTTGTATGGGGAATCAACCTAGGGACGAACCCGAGCGAAGAGAGGATGAGTCGCTAGTGTTGTATAATATTCTAGTTTCTCAATCAAACGCTTTAAAAAACCATTCTACAAATTAAAATATTTCAAATTTTTTTATTCAGTTTTTCTTTGATAAAAATAATATTTTATACGATAACATGTCACGTGAATATTTGTAAAATACACAGAGAGAATATTTTACTAAATCAATCTAAATCGGCTCCACATTTCTTCGTTTATATTAACAAGACAAATCATTCTATTATATGGGGACCGTGCGCGTAATGAGAGAGGGCAGAACTATTGCCCTCCTAGCTTTTTATTCCCGAAGATAGGGATCATTTGTAAAACACAATTTTTTTTTAAAAATGGAAAAAATAATAAAATATGGATTTATCAATAATATTGTACTACAAAAGAGTGTGTCAAATGTATATGGTATATGGTATGTATGTATAAAAATTTACTTTAAAAAATACTTGTGTAATCAAATTAAAAAATAACATTTTTTCTTGACGTTAACATAAAAAAATATTGAAAAGTAATCCCAATAGATTCAGGTATTTGCCACTAGTTGGCGTAAAACTCTAGAAGCATGGTCCCCATAGTCTTGAACTATAAACAAAAAAAAAACAAACTTACAATAAAACCTTTTACGTGATAAATAGATGCGGCTCTATCTGTTTCCAATATCCATGTTGAAAATCAAATAATAATATGCATGTGTGAATGAAATTACTCGCGCCTTCGAAGTCACGGTTAACAGATAGTGTACATTTATAAAGTTGCAATACATCGTAAATTGCACTAAATGTTAGAAGAAATTCTGTTTCAGACGTTACACAGATGTAATGGCAATAAAAATGTACACAGGAAAACGTAAGAAGTATTTACGATGACTTGATAATTTCTTACACCAATTTAACATCTTCTATAATATGTATAATAAAATTGTAAGTAAGCTGGTACATTAAATATTTTTTTGGAAAATCTTATTGAAATAGACATTATTATTGATACAGAGGCCGAATCTATAGTATTTAGAATTATGGTCTGTCTGTCTTGTCTGTTACTACATCACAGAAAAACCACTTTTTTTATTGTTATTCGGGTTTATGGTTATTCGGGTTAACATATAGGATACTTTTTACCGCGAGAAAATATCTCATTTCTGAGAAAAAATACAAGTACTGCATTGTAAGAGTGTACTAATATGTAAAAACAAAGAATTTGGTTTTTGGTCATCTGAATGCGGGCGGAGCCGCGGGCAACGCTAGTTATTAATAAAACTTATTGACTTACGTTTTCATGCTTCTCAGCAGTGCTTAGTACTTACTGTACAGATACGAACATAATCATATAGATGATACCTTTAGTATATGTATATTAAAACAAAAATACGATATGAACTAGTAAAATTTGAAATTATCGCAAAAACATACTTTAAATAACTATAGAAAAATAAAAAAAACCTTCTATTATCATTCAAAAATGCTTAGAACATAACCCTAATCACCATATCTCGCGTAAAAGAAACCACACTATACATAAAAAATACTTACAACAATAATTGTTCTCTTGAATAATTCTAGATATATGAATTCTAAATATTTTAACTACAATACACTTGTATGAACACGAACTGCGCGCGCGCACGTAAGCTTCAGACTACAGGGCGGGCGGACTGGGCAGGTTGCGTAATTGTGTTATAATATTTTTTTTATGAAAATAGACTTTCTCTTAGTCTAAATAGCTTTATTTTCATCAATAGCAAATCTAAATATTTATACTTGCATGTTTATAATTTTTTATGAATGAAAGTTCTTATATAACTATGCATACCTACTTCATGTTATCGCTCATGACGATCTTTGCACAAAATTATGTAAATTTTCGTGAAGAATGCTTGGGATACTTGAATGAATTAAAGCTATATAATTTTTTTATGTTAGTATTATGTTACTATTTGTTGTAGTTTTTATAAACTAATTTTACTATAACATAAATATATTAAAGTTAAAAAATATATACATATATGTAAATACGAAAAGTTTGAAAAATATAGCAATATCAGTAACTTTGTGTTGTTATTAATATATTAAGTATTTTAAATAACTTTTATAATATATAGCTTTAAGAATATGAAGATAATAATAATATAATTAGATTGAATATCTCTTGAAAAGGCACAACCATAAAAATAATATCATAACCATAAAATCATTTACAAGGATATTATATACGAGTAATTCAGACCGTAGATACTGGTTGTCTGGAAAACAGTGGTTCTTATCAAGAAACAGTAGTTTTGTAATTCTTCATTTAGTTGGCACTAATACAAATCTTTAGCAGCGGTGATAATTATTCGTATCTATTTATAACGAGTATTGTGTTAGAACCGAGCCGGGATGCCCGCGCGCTCGCCCTGAAATCTTTCAATTCCATTTGTTACAATAAAACAATGCATAGGCGCGAGATACCAGTGTGTGAAGTCTGCCAACTTCCAGCGAACCAGACATGTGGGGGCTGTAAGCTGGTGTATTACTGTTCAAGGGCTCATCAAAAGTTGGGATGGAAGGAAGGGCACAAAACAAAATGTTGTGCCTACAAGATTCAAGTCTCAGATGAGTTGGGGCGACACATGGTTGCCATCAGGGACATCCAGAAAGGTGAAGTGATATTAAAAGAAAAGCCAGCTGTTAGCGGTCCGAGAATAACTTGCCCTGTGCATTGTTTGTCATGTGGCAAGAAACTTGAGCCTATACAAAAAGATGATGAATTAGATTTCTATAAATGCAGTTCGTGTAAATGGCCAATGTGTGGTAACGATTGTGAAAAGGCTGATGTGCATCAAGATGAATGTAAATTAATGAAGAAGCGAAATTATAGATGTGAAATAAAGTATGAACGTCCAGATAAGGCAGAAGCAGCATATTGCATTATTGCTCCATTAAGAGTATTGTTAATGAAAACAAATAATCCTAAACAATATGAGAGTATAATGAGCTTAGAATCTCACTTAAAAGACAGAGTAAATACGCCTTTATATCAAGTCTTAAAGGCCAACCTTGTCACGTTTGTTACACAAGTGCTTGGTCTGCCGTTTGACGAGGAAACTATTTTGAAAGTAGCTTCGATATTTGACACAAACTCCTTTGATGTAAGATCTCCGGATGGATCTAAAAGGTTACGTGCTATTTATGTGACAGCTTCAATGATGAATCATAATTGTAAGCCTAATACGCGGCATATTTATCTGAACGATGATAACAACTTAGCTCTTATAGCAACAGTGCCGATTGCAAAAGGTGAGATGATTTTTGCAACATACACACAAACATTGTGGGGAACATTGGATAGAAGAAGGCATTTGAAAATGAACAAATGTTTCGAATGCAAATGCGAAAGATGTAGTGATCCAACAGAGTTTGGAACGTATATAGGTAATATTTATTGTTCAATTTGTAACCATTCAAGCGTAGATTCATATCCACCAACAGATGCTATGTTAGTTTCCACCAACCCATTAGATGAAACAGCATCATGGCAATGTGAGAAATGTGGCTACTATATACAAAGTAGGCAAATGGTGTGGGGTAATAATGCGCTGAAGCAAGAACTACGGACACTACATAAGGCGGGACCAAAAGGTTTTGAAGAATTCATAAATAAGTATAGCTCGACGTTGCATTCCACTAATCACTTGGTGATTCAAGCCAAGTTAGCGCTGATGCAGATTTATGGCAACTATAAAGGATACACTTTGACGGGTAATTTATTACTTCCCTGTTTATTTCTAGACTATTAATTTTAAATATAGTTATAATGATTGCAATAATATGCATAAAATAAAATTTTGGTGATAATAATAAAATTCAAAAAGGATAAGTAAGTAAAGGAATATTTTATTTTTCAAAAAACTTTAAAATCTTCTACATATTAGATTAGAATGTATGTCTATAGTATGTAATATGAAGGTATAATATAAATATATTATTTTATTATTATTTTTATTCTATATTTCTTTTTATCTTGTATTTTTCTGCTCCGCTAGATGGCAATCTTTCTCACCTTCATAAGAAGAATTCTTTTAAAGATAAGTCTACTTTGCCTTCAATATATCCTAATGTAACTACATAGTTATGTGACATAAAGCATGTACACACATAAAAAAAATGCAAACTTATTTAATGTTACCTTACTTATTTCAGAGCTTCCTGACCATCTTTTAAAACGAAAAGTAGACTTATGCCACGAGTTACTTGAGGTAGCTGAAAAATTAGATCCTGGTTGGTCGAGGTTCCGCGGTACCATACTGTTGGAACTTCAAGGTGCATTGATGATGCAAACTAAGAGGGACTTTGAAGAAGATAAACTAACAAAAGAAGGAGCTCAGGTGAGCCTTGATTAGAATATGAATTCATCGATAGGATTAACTGTGAAAGCAGTACATTTTAGTCCAGTCATTTGTTAGTTTTACCTGGAAAGTTTTTCTGGTTTTGAAAATTTATGATTATTAATAGATTTCGACGTGCTCTTTGAATGTTTCGAATTTTTACTTTGCCATCTCATATTTTTACTGCTCGCGCAGCCATGTTGGATAAACGGCGCCAATTTTTTTGACAATAGCTATTTTTCCACTCATTTTACAATGAAAAAGAAATTAATGAAAATAAGACTTTCGACATACTCGTAGAGTACAACGAGAATTCTAGTAAGAAACTTTGAGTATTTTAATACATAGATTTTGAACCCACGAACCTCGACGAACTGAGCTATTATAGTCGTATACAGATAATGCCAATGAACTACAATAGTTATGTTTTAAAATAGAATTTTAACTATTGCTTATTTATAATTTGCTTACTTTGAATACTTATAATTTGCGTCATACATTTGCTAATTTGACCTTAACATTTTATTAGATTTATTGTATGATCTAAATAAATCGGCTAAACTACAGTTGGCATTCACAGTCCTTGAATTAAATTCAAACCTATACATACAAATAAAATTGAACTGATAAATAAAATTGAATTTTCTGTTTGTAATGTCAAAATAACCTTTTTTCTAAATGCATATGAAAGTATATACGGTACTTATAAGAAAAACAATTTTTTTATAATTTTTGTCTGTCTGTCTGTTTGTTCCGGCTAATCTTCAAAACGGCCCAATTTTGACGGGACTTTCACTGGCAGATAGCTGATGTTATAAGAAGTAACTTTTATTTTAGAAAGACAATCAGGGTCCCGCTCAAAAAAAATAAAACCTACCTAGGGACGTACCCGAGCATAGAGGTTAAATTCGATAATTTAGGCACAGAGAATAATTCAGTTTGTCAACCGATTTTCTTTTTTTGTTCGTTCAGTAGCTATTGATGAGATTTCAGATTATCAATAAAAAAAATTGAAACAGTTTTTTTTATAGATAGGTAAATTTTATTCGATATGTTTTCCGCAAATTTTCGAAAGTGGTCTTTCACCTACTGGGCGAACACTTGTATTCATTTAAAAGATACTCGTATAATAAATTTCGACATATTATGTATAATAATAATAGTAGCTAAAACATATTACATACATAAAAACACAACCAAATTGATCTCCTCTTTTTTTCAGTCGGTTATAAAGAAAGTATTAGGTTTCAAGTTCGTTTATTTGTTGATTTTTTGTGTAATAAAAAATTCGAATTCCTATGAATTTGATAGAGTATTATAATATGTATGTATTTTCTTAAATTTAGCGCTTTAGACCTTGTTAATATCTAATAAGTCAGTTTTCTACTATAGCGATATGTTTATTATAATAGCTATAATCACGTGATTTTTTTTAACTTTTTGATTATAACTCAGCTTTTTAACTGACATTTTCAAGAAAAAAGCCAGTTACAACTAGATATTATTATTTTACAATCGTAAATGACTTTCTCGTAAAAAAAGTATTTGGCCAAATGCCAGTCAGAGTCAGTTGATAGGCGAAAATGTGTTCCAGATTTTATTAATAGCTGTGATGGTTGAACATGAATATGCGTAAGCTACTATAACCATTAATCAAGCATGATGTTAATACTATCAAATATGATTGTAATGTTTAGTTTGATCTCCTGTTTGTTTGTTTATGTTTAAGAATTTCCGGAAGTTCCGAAGAAATGAATTAATTAAAAGAAATTAAAATAAATCCAGTTTATTCTAAAAACAAAATGTCAAACACTAAAAAAATCACTAATATATTTTATATATTATATGTATAGATAATATTTTATGTATACTACATAACCTTTGTTAATATTCCAAAAATTCGTATTGCATTAATTGGAACATTTTCCACTTTATGTAAATTCGCGTAAATTTTATACTGGTTAGATCTGTTTGGAGCCTGAGTTAGGTTGTTTGTAAATATTATAAATTTTATTATAAATTCGTTTGACGAATAATATAACAATTTATGTAAGTAACATTTACTGTAGATTTTTTGGATAATTTTTTAATAAAATCTAAAAAGGAAAAAAAATATAAAAAAATAAAAAAAACAATTATTGAAAAAAAGCACTATGTATTATATAATTATATAATTATATGTATATACCGCCAAATTTTCACCTATACTCAATCAATTAATTATTTTGAAGTCTAGGTATCTCAAGTAAATACTTTTAAACTAAATTGGAAGGTTAGTATAACCTTTGATTTGAAAAGCACTAAAATTGTTGTTACAGGAGCAGCTAATGGAAAGTATGGCGCTACTTCAAGAAGCTACAAATATTTTGAAGACAGAGCCACATATGAAGCAAACTTTGGAAACAAAAGTTCAGGATATAAAAGCTATGTTAGATTGGACTAGTCCCTAAATGAGCTTAAAAATATTTGATATCTTTTATTTTTTGCCGATATTAAAAATATACAATATTATATATTTTATAATGCTATTATTAAAGTTTTCCAAAACAAAACTTATTTATTCTTATTTTTAACAAAATATAATTTTGCAAAATCAATTATTTTTTTTTCAATAGCTTATGCTTAACTAAAAGAGAAAGATATAAAGAGAGAGAGAGAGAGAGAGAGAAGTAGAGTAGAGAGAGAGAGAGAGAGAGAAGATAATTTAATAATTATGTTAAAACAAATAAAACGAAACAATCACGTTGTTATTTATATATTAAAAGCAATTAAAAAAGGTTAAATAATGTTTACAATTTCATATAAAACTTATTTATAAAATATAATGGGTAAATAAGTTATAGTTAATAGGTAAGGTATAAAGGAGGCATACATTCTAATTAATAATATATAATAATATAAAATTAAAAAATTGTTTTTTGTTTGCTTGAAAGCACGTACATACTCGTATTATCTTGAAGTAGGACTGAGATCTATTTTTTTTTTGCATTTTATATATAGCCTACACGTACTATAACGGACAGTGGTAACGCGCTCGCTTGGGAAACCGAAAGTGTAACGGGTTCAAACTCCGCGTCTCTTACCTCTGACCTTTTCATGTGTAAATCATTTCTAACATTATTACAACTTGACTTACGTTGAAGGAAAACGTGAACAAAAGCTGCATATCTGAGATAAACTAGCAAGTTTTCGAAAGACACGTGTTCGCCTACCCGCACTTGATCAGCGTAATGGATGCTGACGGTCATGGTGCCCAGCCGTGGGACGTTAAAAAGGGTTGAATACATATATAACCATAAAAAACATGACTTCCAATACAATATGGCGAGAAACCTGCATATCTAAGTGAACCTAACCAGTTTCAGATTTCAAAAGAAAGTTTATGATGTCCACCAAACCGCATTTGGCTATCGTAGAAGACGATAACCTTATCGCCCTCGCATTGACAGGAGGTATATTATATTTATTATATTGGTAATTTTATTATACTAAAATTACTATATTAGTTACACAAAAATAATTTTGTACAGGTTTCTTGTACAATCTTTACATAGTATGAAGTCGCTCTCGCTGTTTGTTCGCTTAGGTCTTTTAAACTACGTAACGGATTTTAATACAGTTTTCAGCATTAGATAGAGTAATTCAAGAAGAAGGTTTATATGTATAATATTTATACCAACCAATAAAATGTTCCTAGGGATGAACCCGAGCGAAGAGAGGATGAGTCGCTAGTTATGCCATAAAACAATCAATTAATGAAATAAATAAAACTTCTGACGAAATCATGACAGTTGAAATCATTAAAATGATAATTATTTATTATAAGTCTGTTATCCAGTAAGCAAGACCTCGAATGATTACACTGGTTCGATTTTGAGCGGGGTCACTTTGGTTGGTTTTGTTGTAGCTTCATCCACATTTGGTAAGCTCAGCTCCACTGATTGGCGGTTAATATGAAGAAAATTCTTCACCATACCGGAAATCTTTCTCTTTGGCTTAGGACTTGTTTCTATTACGTAGATCTTCTCAACATTATTTGGCTGTATGGACTGTTTCTTTTTAACGACCTGCAGTTTAAAAAAATATATTTCTTAAGCAATTACTTCTATAAGTGCCTATGTCTATTATATACATATCTTAATAACACAAACAATTCTTCAACTATTATTTTATATTTATGATACTATAGTTTTGGGATTTTAAGCAATGGCTTAAATATAGTAACAATTATTTCAGTTCATTTACTGGATTCGAAGTTACAGTTCAATCATCGCAATATTTTTGAAATTTATATGTTATAATAGGTTTCTATGTGATGAATCAATGAAAATACACGGTAGCTCCTTTCACGTATTCGATCTAGTTCTTACTCTTTGCTTTCCCTATTATTAATATTAATATTATAAATGCAAAATTGAATTTATTACTTTATCTCACCTTGAAAACGGGTTGTGATTTTAAAACACATATGCTACTTACACCCATGTAAACCACCATAACCATGGGGTTTCTCCTACCACGGTTCACTCTACTAAGAGAAGTACGTATCAGGAGCAACCCGCTCGGTACACTATCTACCCGAGGTGAGCCACCTCCCAGTATATCACTTGGCTTCACGACCGGCTGGATTGCCGGACGCTTATAAGCTCCCCACCACGATGAGGTTAGGATAAACACACATAGGGTGTGGGGGGAGAGGGGTGGGGTGTACGGAGGGGAGGGGGGTGCTAGTGATGCATCTGAGCGAAGTGAGGGTAATTCATTAGTTAAAAATAGATAATATATATTAATTTGACATCTCACCGTTGTACATATACAGCACCATGTACTAAATTTAAAGCAGGCGGTGCAAGGTGTGCGGTCCATAGCGCTTCTGAACCTGATGTTAGTGAAACCGTATATGAGAGGGTTGATAGCGCAGTTGACATACATAAGATAACTGGCCACGAACCACATCACTGAATAACCACCGTCAACCTGTAAACATTGTTATAATGACTTCAAATCATACTTTTTTTTTGACATTGACCACAGCGCCATCTAGTTCCATGGTAAGCTATGAGACTTGTTGTGGATACCAGATAGTTGAACTACGCATATATAACTTTAAATACATACATATTATAATTATAAACACCCATGACTGGAATACAAACATTCGTGTTCATCACGCAAATGAATGCCCCCAGCGGGACTCGAACCCGCGATTGCTGGCACAGCAAGTAGGGTCATTACAAACTAAGCCAAACGTGTCATCAAATTGTGTGAGTATGTTTATTACTTGGTACTTCACGCTTAAACCGCTGGACGGATTTGGAAGAAATTAAGTACACAAATAGACGAAGACAGAGTAATACATAAACTACGATTAGTAATAAAATTTGCCCAAAAGATATACAAATAAAAATTAAAATAAATACAAAATCTACTTCCGGATTCACCAGAGCGAAGCCCCCTGTTTCTATGTCATAGTGTATATATATCAATACTTCAAAACACAAAGTGTACAGTGTTTAAAACTTTTGATTGCAAATTACCGCATTAATTTCCATGTTCAAATTATTCCGCCAATAAATTAATATAGTATAAGGTATTCTGCATATTGCAGCGGCAACGAGAATGCAAGCTGTTATTTTCATCGCTTTCCCTTTTGCTTTTGTTAAAGTTTGACCTCCACCCCGCGAGGATAGTTCCCGAGCCGTCCATTCTATACGCCACATTATTGTCCCGTACTGTAGAATTAAAATATTTGAGAATCATACAATTAAACTTATATAAGACACGTAGAGGTTGTTTTTTTCTTTCAGGGAAATGAATGAAAATTCTACTTTGCGTCAATATATCTATGTACTATAGAAATAGAAATAGCTGAATGATAGAAAAAAATCAAACACAATAAAAATGATATTCTACAATCGCAATCGCTAATAGAAAACTAAAAATGTATGTGAATAATAAATTATTTATATTTTTCATAGTTTTTCATAGTATTAAAAAAGGAGGAGTGTAAAGGAAGTTTGTTTTATTAAGGAATTAGTTTTAAATAAAATACGAACCGTTATTATCATAACGGCTAGTGGGATCCAAACGAGCAACATTATGATGAAGTGCCAATATATACTTAGCATATCCCCAACTTCCACGCAGAACATTTCCAAATGATCTAACCACTGACGCTCCTGAAAATTTTATTATTATTTAAAATATAATCGATAATAAAAGGAAATATGTCTGTCGATCTGTTTGATTAACGGTTGAATGAAGTGAACCTAAAAGAAGAATTTAAGTGTTTTAAAAATCATTCCATTCAATCATTATGTATATTAATTTTGATGATTATGTCCTTCTGACCGATTTAAGTCACGGCGGCCAATCTCACTGGGATTTGCATACTTCGCAGATATTATAGTGCACAAGTGTTCGCGCAAACACCAGTGCATTTATTCCTTTCACTCATAAATTCCGATGGGACCATCATGCGACGGACCCGTTGAGAGATCAAGCCCAGGATCAACGGCTTTAGCACCAACTTCTCAACTCCGGGCTATTACAGGGACTTTTTTAACAGAAAGACTGAACTTAGTCTTACTCATTATGTTACGTTTGATATATTTGAATATATATACTAATATTATAAATGCGAAAGTTTGTAAGGATGTATGGATGTATAGATGTTTGGATATTTGTTACTCTTTCACACAAAATTTACTGCATGGATTTTAATGAAACTTTAAAATAATATAGCTCATTTATTAGAATAACACACAGGCTGCTTTTTATCACGGAAAAATTTACGGTCCCGTGGGATAGATGTGTTTTTCTTTTTCTGCTCTTGCTAGTATCTTAGATTTCATAATAAATAATAATAATGTAAATCATCGGTTGCCTGTAAGAGATCACTTTTAGTGATAAGGCCGCCTTTGCACATCTTTTTAATCGTATAATTTTTTTTATGTTAATGTACTATTTTCTTGTACAATAAAGTGTTATAAATAAAAAAAAAACTACTAAAAGATATTAAGTTCTAAACAGACTGAGATTAGATATCTAGTGATTAAACAGGGTTTTTAACGATGCCATCTCACCATATATTCTCTTTTAATAATCCAAGGCAGAGATAATCCGATGGCTATACCCCAAGTAGCCAGTATAAGCTTGGGGGCTGCATTTTTCGTGACTCTTGCCTCAGAAGTCAAAGCTGCTGATGCCAGTCTATCGTATGATACCAACATAACTGCTATCACGCTAGCCAAGAGAAGAGTAGCTGAAATAAATACCAATAGTACCTAATTTCAAATAATATTAAAGTATCGAATTCAGAACTAAAAATAATATGTTTCAATGACCATTTTACTAATACTAAATAATTTACTGAGACATAATTGAGAATTTAGGTAATTTTTTTTTATTATTTTATATTAAGCACCATCTAGTTCCATGGTAAGCTACGAGGCTTGTGTTATGGATACCAGATAGTTGATATATTACACATATACGAGTATAATGTTATAAATATTATTATCTATACAAATAATAAAATTCTCACTGAGTCGAATCTGTAGGTACATTAAATATGTACCTATATTTTTTTGGAAAATTTTATTGAATTAGTCATTATTATCGATACAAACGGAGAATCTATAGTTTTTAGAATTTTGGTCTGTCTGTCTATCTTAGAATGTATCACGAGAAAACTACTGGACCGATTTTGATGAAATTTGATATGACGATTGCTAGCTTTTTATGGGTCAACACATAAGATACTTTTTACTGCGGGAAACTATCTCATCTCTGAGAAATCTACACTAAACATTAAAACGTGACTAGGGACGAATCCGAGCGAAGCTAGGGCGAGTCGCTAGTTGTATTAATAAAAATTACAAAAATTTATTTTCTAAATCTGTTGTAAATAAGGTTAAATACAAACTGTGCTTTTTTATTTACAACCTCCATTTTAGAAAAAATAAAATGCTTAATTCAAACAAAAGATAAAAGGCAGATAATGAAATTGTGATCATTTATGGTCATCCCCTCTTTGTCGCATTATAACGACACACCACTACAGGTAATGAAACAGTAATATTAAGTGTTTCTAACAACATAATATTCTATTTTTTTAGATTTATTTAGAGAAGACTTCAAAAAATAACTTACCGCTTTGAATATTATAAATAAGGTCTTTAGAAATATTATTTTACCTTGCAAAAATCCTTCAAATCTGCATCCGAAGGTTTTCAACACGTAATTTTGATAGAATTCCCTGACGAGCATGAACCAAGGACAAAATATCAGCGTCACCAGATCAATAAAAGCGAGATTTCCAATCAAAATATTGCTAGCAGTCCAGAGCCATTTATTTTTGATAAGGATGATAAGAATGACAGAATTTAGGAAGATACCCACGACACCAACAATGAGCATAGCGGTCGACTTTAGAGCGATTTCTTTTGCTGGTTTTATGTGCCATAATGTGTTTGGAAATGGAATTTGGGAAAGGTCCAGCTGTAAATAGATATAATTTAATATGGATATAATAATTAAATAGGCAATTTAAAAATCATTACTTGCTAATAAAACACTTCAATTTTTAGACTGTAAGTAAAAGATGTGTTCTTTCATGTTATGATAATGCATTACAATAAAATATAGTACCTAGTCTAAGTATGTCATTCTTTTTATTTTTATGCGGATTTTGTTCATAATTTCATGGGTTTTAATTTTTTGCGCGGAACCCTAATTCTTTTTCTAAAATAAAAGTAGCCTAAATTACTCCTTATAACATCAACTACCTGCAAGTGAAAGTCCTGTCAAAGTCGGTCCAGCCGTTTTGGAGATTAGCCGAAACAAACAGACAGAAAAAAAAATTAAAAATAGATTTTTCTTATAAGTGTCGTCTATAATTTCACATATGCATTTAGTAAAAAGCTGTAATTTTGACATTATAAGCAGACACTTCAATTTTATTAATTTGTAAAGTTTGTATAGATTAATAAAATAAACAATTAAGTTTATATACCTAATAAATTATTAAAATTATAGAAACGTTTTACGAGAGATTTTGAATCTATATAATATAGTCCATTTTATCCATACTTCCATACGGATGGATGGATATTTGTTACTCTTTCACGCCAGAACGGCTTAACGTATCTAAATGGAATTTGGTACAGAGATAGATTATAGTATGGAATAGCACATAGGTTACTTTTTATCCCGGAAAAATGTACGGTTCCCATAAGATGGATTAGTTTTGGTCTAGGGATAACAAACAAAAATAGAAGTAAGAAATACATCAAATTTTTAATCTAAGTTTTAAAATACATATAACTTAGAAAAAAATACCAGAAAACAGTCGGTATAATTTTGGACTTTGATATTACTATACCTACTATATATGTAATTAGATTCATATACATAGATATTGAGAAGTATAAATAACATTAAAAATAACTTACATCATTTAAATCATCCACAGTCCAGTTCATCAGAAAGCTTTTTACTTGAGCAAAATCGACTTCTTCAAGCATTATTTCGCTTCTAACATTTTCATCATAACAAACGTGTAGAAAACAAATAATTTTAGCGACTGAAGCCCCTTAGATAACAGGTCCACTAGTCCTCCATTAGAATAAAAAGCATTCTTATCAGTGATGATTGATAGTGTCGAATCAGATTGTGCGCGGTTAGGCAAGGTTTCGGTGTTAATGAATCATGTACCTAGTTATTGAAAAACTGCGTAGCTTTAGCATTAGCTTAGCTTTCGCATTGCTTACCGACTTCAAAAAAGGTACTCTATATGTGTATGACTTTTTTTGTATAAGGTACACTAATTGATTTAAATAAAATTAGTTGTTTTAATAATTGTTAGTGGATTAAAAATTGCCCCATCTCTTATACTAGGTATGACTAAATAAATAAAAGTTGTTTCGGCATCTAAACATTAATGTTTAGATGCCTATTTGAAATTAAAAATCCATACTAATATTATAAATGTGAATGTGTGTTTGTAAGTTTCACGTCGAAACGGAGTGACAGATTGGCGTGATTTTTCGTGTGGAGACAGCACGAGGGTGGAGAGTGACATAGGCTTCTTTTTACCGCGGAAGATTATCTCATTCCTGCGGGAAAACACGTTGTAATACAACCCAAATTATTTATCATCAGAATTACTTGAAACTTGGTATTAATTCTCTTCAATGCAATTAAATAAATACGTGTTTTTCGAAATTCACCCCATAATGGGTAAAAGAGGGGATGAAAGTTTGTATGAAAACTACCTTTTAAAGTATTTTTTGTAGTTTTACCACGAGCGAAGCCGCGGGTTCTGGTAATATGACTATAATAATAAAGGTACTCTATTTAATCATCACTTAATGAAGACATAATTTTATCTTTACAGTACGTCATTTGATATTACAGTTTAGGACATTATGAAAAGAAAAATAAATCGTGACGTGCATTCAAAGAACTGGACGCGTGGAACCCCAGGGCGGGGCTAGGATTTTCATGTTAGATAGAGTAGTTAGTACATATTTTGGTAAATTATTATGGACACTGATATGGATAAGCAATCCACCAACGAAATAACTATAAAAATAGCACAACCTCCAACGAAAATAAAAAAAATCGAAATAGCTAAATCTATGAGTAAGAATTATATCGTACTATAAAACAAAAACAAATCTATCCCTCGGGAACCGTATATTTTTCCGGGATAAAAAGTAGCCTATGTGTTATTCCATATTCCAGACTATAATCTATCTCTGTGCCAAATTCCATCCAGATCCGTTTAGCCGTTCTGGCGTAAAAGAGTAACAAACATAAAACAAGAACATATTCGTCGAGATCATCGTCATTCTCACAAATTTTCACATTTATAAGATTAATACGGATAATACGGGTAATACGGATTCTATAGTAATTAAAGATAAATATTATAGTCACAATTATAAAAACTTAAAAAAAACCGACTACCAAGCACTAAAATGTAAAAAAATAACTAAACTTGGGTTCTCATTTAGAATAGATACCTAATCAGATATTTTCGAAATCTAATATATTTCGATACGTAAAATACTATATTTAGTATTTACCTATTAGATATTCATAAAATATTGTCGGCTGGCACCGGCTTTATTTGCAGACGTAATAAGCAGGTAATTTGTAGGAAGAAAGTTTTTTAATAACATATTTGATTAAACAATTAATTTAAAAAAATATATTTATTGTTGTTTTTTTTGAAAACCGCTCGAGCGATTTTGATAAAATTTATATGAGACCAACTGAGAAGTATAACCCTTTGAAACAAAAAAATATTTCCAAATCGGTTCAGGCGTCTTCGAGTAATCGGTGAACATACATAAAAAAATGATACCGACGAATTGAGAACCTCCTCCTTTTTGGAAGTTGGTTAAAAGTAGAGTAAAATAATTGCGAGTCTGGGTTGCGCACCGAGGCAGGGGCCGACAAAACAATGTTAAATGATTTAGAAGCAACTTACTAACGATTGCCTTGAAGAAAATCAATCTGATTTTGAGACCTATCTAAAATTACCCCACAAAGTTATGTATGAGTGCAGTCTAATATCTTTTTCCATAGACATTTTGAAATTTGAAGCACTTTATTGTTTTTGAATAAATAGAAAGATTTAATATAAGTTTTTGATATAAATCAAAAAATTGGGGGTTACATTTAAAAAAAGAAAAATAAGTGAAATCTATTATTATTTTAATATATTATTATCAAATCAATCTCTGAAAAATACAACGCTAATAGATAGTAAAAATAAATAATTGTTAAAATAGCGCCATCTGTTAGATTTTACTATAACTATTAAGCTAGAAGTAAGGAAGAGTGAAATAAATAGCTTCGTCGCACATTTGAAGTAACTCAAAGAATATACAGATGTCGCTGTATCTTATATGGAGAAATAATTATGTAGGTATATTCATTTACATAAAATTCGTAAAAATATGTACTTGTTAGATATATTTATATATTTAATATATATATATATATATATATATATATATATATATATATATATATATATATATATGATTTTTTTTTCAATCTTATTGAAATATTGATTATTAATGATACATAGTCCAGAACTATAGTTTTTAGAATTATTTTCTGTTTGTCTGGAAACGCTTCACGAGAAAACCACTAGTCGACAGATTTTGATGAAATTTTTGTTTGGTATGTATGATGATAGCTGGTTCCATCCATCCGGGTCAATATATAAGTAGGATGCATTTTAATGCGGGAAAAAGTAAAAAAATAATTTCAATCTGCGAAAGTAAAGAAGTACTAAACTTCTTAAAACGAACTAATAGAATATATTATGTATTATGTATACATTCTAACTTCACACATTTAAGATCTAGATAATATTGTAGTCATTTCGACTTTGAAGTATTTACATAAAATTAATAAAAAAAATTGTTTTTTTTTTAAGAAGTTTCATTAAAATAATAACCAATTTTGTATGTAAATCATACGTAAACCCAATCTTTCTTAGCGATCAAGCTAACTACCAAAACTTCCGGTGTTTGTCTAAAATGTACTCAACTAATGCTAGTTTAATTTGCCACTACGTGTACGTGCTACAACCTATCGATGTTATCAAAAGTGTTTCCCTAAAAACGTTCATATAAGTACTTGTTATTGAGAAACCCATGTATTAAGGCTTAAGTTATTGGCTTAAACTTTATTGGCTTAAGTTTTTTGTTTAGAAGTGTTTAACTAAATCTTATTTACTATACGCTGTATGTTTCCCAATGATAAATAAATAAATAAATAAAATAAAATAAAATAAAATAATAGTAATTAGACCTACATAAACTCGTTGGTCCAGACTGTAGAAGATAACATGCAGGTGGTTGTGAAATTTTCAAGCCGTCAGTAGTGCTAGGATTATTATTTAGTAGCGAGTCACCCTCGCTTCGCTCGGATTCGTCCCTAGGTTGATTCCTCATGCAAACTTTCATCCCAATTTTCACCCCCTTAAGGGATGATTTCCGGGATAAAAACTGTCCGTTGTCCTTCCCAGGGTCTCAAACTATCTTCTTACCAAATTTCATCTAAATCGGCTCTGTAGTTTCAGAGCCTATTCAGTAAAAACAAACGAACAAAATATCAAATCTTTCCTCTTTATAATATTAGTATAAAATGTTGAAATTTTGTTTTTATAGTCAACAAACCTTATTACTGTTACACAGAGTTCATAATTTACTTTCACTTTTAGAAGTACGCAGAGATTAAGACTAAGCTTCCATTAATTGTATCATGAACCACCTTCAAAAATGATCAATGTTCTTAATTTATGTGTATGTAATATACCCCAGTATGCAATTTTTATATAATATTTTCGCTCTTTTTTTAATCAGTGGCTATAGCTTCAAGAAATATATGTATATATATATGTATGTATATATATGTATATATATATATATATATATATATATATATATATATATATATATATATATATATATATATATATGTATATATATATATACACATATTGTTTTAAAATAACGATGGGATTATTTAAATTGTTTTTTAATTGTTCTTATTTAGTATATTCTTTAAGCACTATAAAGAGATATGTATTTGTTTTTTTCCTCATAATATATATACTCTACTAAATTTAACAAACAAAAAATTTAACTAAAAGAAAGTTGAACACTACATTAAATACGGCTATTTTTGTCCACGTATCACGCAGGTGATATTGTCTTTATAATAGAAACTTTACACTAAAAAATCTGGCTTTATTTAGTGTGACACAAGATTAAAACGTGTAGACAGTCATTCGTACAAAATTACCGTCGACGTTGCGGTTTGTGTGAGAGGATTATTCTGTGATTATTTCGAACTTCTTCAAACTTAAAGATGTGTTGCTTGATCTGTCTCGTGCAGTTACGTACTTTTTGTTTTGAAAAGTTAATGTGTAATTTGTATACTTGAAATTATAAGCGTTTGGCTCAGTTTGTAGTGACCCTTCTTGCTGTGTCAACGGTCGCTTGTTCGAGTCCTGTTGGAGGCATTTATTTATGTGATGAGCATATATGTTTGTACTCCAGTCATGTATTTAAATTATATATGTGTAGTGTATCTACTATCTGGTATCCATAACACAAGCCTCGTAGCTTACCATGGAACTAGATGGTGCTGTGTGTTATTGTCCCAACATATTTATTTTATTTATTTATTATCTTGTACAAAAGGAAACTCAGCTAGAAATTAATACTTATTAAATCTTATAAGGAAATTTCAAAAAGCTGACAATATTTTCTGAACGTAGCTTAGCTTTTCTAATTTGAACTAAGTAAAAAAAAACATGAGTAAATTTTTGGTATTTGTAAATTAAATTGTTCATTTATAACAGATGAAGTTAGATGTTCATTGTCATATTAAACACAATAAAGTACAACTAAATGAATGAACCCTTGAAAATTGATATTAATATAGAATTATCTATAAAGGAGCACAGAATTTAAATTGCTTTAAAAGTAATTAT